ATAATAATAAATTTTATTTGAAAGCGCCTTTCAAAACACTCAAGGTCACTGTACACAGTAGAATAAAAGCAACATAAAAGCAAGCAGTTTACAGAATCATAAAAGTATAAGACATAAACAAATAAAATAGCAGAGTGGAGAGGTTATGTGGGATAAGCTATTTTGTACAAGTGGGTTTTGAATTTGGACTTAAAGAGTGAGAAGGAAGAGATATTTCTTAGATCAGGAGGTAGGGAATTCCAGAGTTGTGGAGCAGAGCAGCTGAAAGCCCTGCTCCCCATGGTTGCAAGACGGGGGGAAGGGACGGAGAGTGAAAGGGAAGAAGAAGATCTGAGACACTGAGATGGGGTGGTGATCTGGAGGAGAGAGATGATGAATAGCCTTAAATGTGTACAAGAGTATTTTGAAATTGATGCAATATTTCTATTGGAGCTAATGAAGCTTCTGCAGGACAGGAGTGATGTGGTGGACAGAAGGGGTCCTGGTGATAATGCGGGCAGCAGAGTTCTGGACGCGTTGGAGCTTGTGGATGGATTTTTGAGTAAGACCAAAAAGAAGTGAATTACAATAATCAATCCGGGAAGTAACAAGGCTATGGACAAGAATGGCAGTGGCATGTGGGGTGAGAAAAGGACGGAGAAGATTAATGTTGCACAATTGAAAATATGCTGACCGAGTAACATTATTAATGTGTGAATTGAAAGGTAAAGTACTGTCGAGGATGACACCCAAACTTTTCACAGAGGAAGAAATGAAGACCGGTGAGTTATCGATAGTAATAGAGAAACTGTTGGTTCTGGATAATGTTGATTTAGTGCCTACCAAGAGGAGCTCGGATTTATTACTATTGAGTTTGAGAAAATTAGAAGAGAACCATGAATTTAGTTCAGCTAAACAGAGGGTAAGGGAGGATGGGGGAAGAGCAGAATCAGGTTTAGTGGACAGATAAAGCTGGGTGTCATCGGCATAACAGTGGAAATGGATATTGTATTTACGGAAAATATGTCCAAGCGGTAGAAGGTAGATAATGAAAAGAAGGGGGTCCAGGACAGATCCCTGGGGCACGCCAGTGGTCAGAGGGAAGGGTTGAGAAGTAAAGGATTTGAGTTGAATGAACTGAGTGCGATCAGACAGGTATGATTTAAACCAGGCTAGTGGAGTATGGGAGAGACCGATAGAGGCTAGCTTACTGAGAAGTATAGAGTGAGAACTAGTGTCGAAAGCAGCACTCAGATCGAGGAGAATAAGAATGGAAAGTAAACTGGAGTCAGCTGCCATAAGAAGATCATTGGTTATTTTTATAAGTGCTGTTTCAGTGCTATGGGAGGGGCGAAAACCAGACTGGAACTGTTCATACAGATTATTATTAGTTAAATGTGAGTGAAGTTGTGTGGCAACTATTTTCTCAAGAATTTTTGAAAGGAATGGTAGATTGGAAATAGGCCGAAAATTCTCAAAATTATTGGGATCTAGACCAGCTTTTTTCAATATTGGGGTGATGGCGGCAATTTTGAGGGAAGCAGGAACAGTTCCAGTGGTAAGTGAAGAGCAGATGATGGCAGATATGAGGGGGAGCAAAGAAGGTAAACATGCCTTAACCAAAACTGTAGGAATGGGGTCTAGCTGACAAGTAGGTTTTGACTTACAGATGAAATCTGAAATATCAGTAACCGAGGGGAGCTGGAAAGCAGAAAAACAGTGTGATGGGAGATGAATTACACAGGAAGAGCTAAATGGAACCTCGGAAACCAGTTCGTGGTGTATTTTGTGAATTTTCTCAATGAAAAATAACATTAAAGAATCACAAAAGGAGGACGAGTAAAGATGAGCAGGTAAAGAATCTGGTGACCTGAAAGAAGAGTTCTTGAACAGTGAAAACAGTATCTTGGTTGAGTCATCTTTTGAACAGATAATGGTGGAGTAGTAAGCAGATTTTGTTTGATTAATACACTCCTTATAATACATAATATGATTATTAAACATTTCCTTGTGGATATTCAGACCAGTTTTCTTATAAAGGCGTTCAAGTCTGTTCAATCATTAGCAGTATTTAGATCATTTCATAATCTTATAAAAAAAAATCTAATGTAATCTGAAATGTACCTTTGGATAACACTTGAAACTTGAGAGAGAGATGAAGAGATTCAGAGATGAGGAGTAAATGAGTTCAAGGTATTTGTGGAAATTGTTATTTTAGCTCAACATGATG